CACAATTGGGCTACCAAAGACAACTCCATACGAAGAACAATCCTTTGGAAACAGACACAACAATTAATCACAAACTTAACCTTTTGTTCATATACATATGCCTATCTGAAGCAACAATGCCTAAAGGGAAGCATTTGTACTAAAAGAACCAACCAAGAACATTCAGCTATCATCTCTACTCTAAGTCCTAGTTCCACACTCAAACCCAACATGCATATAAAATAACCATAAAGGACTCAAATGATTAATGAAAAATACTTTTGATGTCTATTCTTAGTAAGAAAAAAAGACCTATTTGCCAGTATACCAGCATTTCCCTCAACAACTTCTGCATAGCTAGTTGGTCCAACTGTCTTCAACTATTTACCAATTGCAAAACACCACATCTACCTTCTGCTTTGGCTGAGCTCCTAGGCACACAGGAATCAGGAAGTAAAAAAAAAATTTTTTTAAAAGAGAATTTAAGGGGCCGAGCCCATGGCGCACTTGGGAGAGTGCAGCGCTCCCACCACGGGTTCAGATCCTATATAGGGATGGCCGGTGAGATGAGCTCACTGGCTGAGCACGGTGCAGCCGGTCACAAAAAGGACAAAAAAAAAAGAGAGAGAGAATTTAAGGAGGAAATATACCTTGCTCTTTTTGATCAATACATAGCTAAGGGGATTTCTGAACATCATAAATTTGTGGAAGAGAAGTACATTCTATTCCTATCATTTGTGTCTGCTCTGACCTCTGTAGGTAGAAAGGCAGTTCACATTGCTTAGGTTAAGAACACTAGGATTTAAATAAACTTAGATACAGACTTTGTTTTATGTGGTTCTGAGATCACCATCCTTTATCCCCACAGGTAATGTATGATGACAAAATGGCAATTCATGAGGAACTTATCATTCTGTTAAAGGACTATCTGGAGTGCACCTAAAAGGGATAACAGACTAGTGTGACATGAATATATCCGACCGTGAGAAGAAGATGGAAAAAGAGAGGCAGTGATTAACTCTCTTTTCCTAATTCTGACATGAATAGATTGACCCAAACAGCCTTGTACAACAATCTAGAACAATGGTTCATAATGTGAACCAATCACAATATAGAATATATCACTCTTTAACAGATCCAACTTCAGGGAACCTTGTCAACATCCCACTCCCAGACAATATCACAGATACTGCTAAAACCTAATACCTACCAGAACTCATGGAGATTAATACTTAATGAGCCCTCCAAGACCAAAATATAAAATGAAAAATGTTAAATCCAGGTGGCCCTAAAAGTTCATTTCCAACCCCTATAAGATAGCATATCAAGAAGGTGGCTCAACAGATCTGAGTTAGCTTCAACAAAAGAACACAGCAAGACCAGTAACTGAGCTCTGCGAGGCAACCTTTTTCTAGCAAAGTCACTTTCTTGATGAGAAAGTTTCTATTGTTACATAGTAGCCTAGATATTCCCTCCCCTTTATTCCCATAAATATATTAAGGGGACAATATTATAAAGGCAAAGGTCCCACTACTAGAGTTCTTTTCACAACATAACAACTGCTGCTAGGCCAAACGTACCTTATCTGTGGGATAACAGATGATCAAAGAATAGTGCATGCTTTGCTATTTCTCTGCTTTGACCCAATAACTCCAAATTTCTAGTTAAATCTTGTACTACCAATGTATGTGGTATAAGTATGTATATGTATATATGTATATGTACATGTCAACATATGTATATGTATACACTTTGCACTACACACTCTTAAAGTTTCAGGGCATCACTTTCAAATCTTTGAAGTCTGGTTGGGTGCTTGTACAGAAAAGAGTTAACACAGCAATCCTGAAACTGCTATCCTTAGAAAGGCCTGCCTGCAAACTTGGCCCATAACCAATACCTGGAAACTTGGATTTTGGGAGTGTTCTTATCATTCTCAGAAGTAATAAAAGTGGCTCTCTGCGCCTAAACTATTTGTACAAATAGTGTGGTTAATGCTGAACACCTGCTTTACCTCAGGGAGTCTAGAATTTTACTATGTGCTAG